CGAACCCGCGACCCGCAGATGGCGAGTCGTGTGCCTAACCACCTGGCCATGCCGGGCCACTAAAAGTAAATAAAAACATAGGTTGTTTTGTTTTTTAATGATCTATGTTTGTATATTTATCTTCAGTATTTATCCATGTTTATGGTATTGTAGGTATGCATAATTTTAATCAATCAATCAAAATTGTTGTGAAGACAAAATTCATTTTCATCCATGATTAAGTTGATCACTATAGTTTTTATGTATAATTTTTTAGAGGCGTGGTTTGGTGATTTTTATGTGTGTGTTTTCTTTATTGATCTAAGTTTATTAAATACACAAATTCAAGCTTTCTGGTGTTACAGTGTGTAACGCTTAAACTGAATCCGTTAGTTGTTAATCATGAACCACGGTAGTGGTTCATAATAGGGATCGTCCGTTTGTTCTTCTTTACTTTACTTTAATCTAATATTGTTCCGCCAGCCTACAGCGAAAATGGCTGTGAGTATTGTAATGAACCCTGGGCCATATTACTAAATGCATCATTGTGCTCTGTGTATGGTAGTTTTTAAATGTATTTTACTACCTAGCAAATAACAGCGGCTATATAACCGTTGACACCTAATCGTTTTAATGTAGCCTGTGGTTTATATGGAGCCTCATAATCTACTACATGCATACATATATAGCCGCGTGCAGGCCGTGGATGTAGTTTAATGTTGATATGACAGGAATGACACATGTACCATAGCGATTATTAACTCATTATTGCAACTGTATTCATGTCGCATATCATTAGTTTATGTATAGTGTTCCTGCCCTTTTGGGCACGACGCTGCTGACAGGATCACAGTTTTTTTACCACTGCATGATCGATTTTGGCCATGCTACACAAACGTCTAAAACGTTATACAAAAGTCTAGGCTGTCTCCCACAGCAGAAATCTTTAAGCTGTGGCTTAAAAGGTAGTACCAAGCTCAGTTTTGAGCATCGGGTCGACAGTCATGGTGATGACTGATGGTAAGTTTCGAATTATAGCCAAAACTGTGTGATTGCGAATTCTATAAACACTGCAGATCGAGTAGCTATTCTAAGTATTACAGATTTTAGACATGGAGTCAAAATAGGGATTTGTAGCTTGACGAAAATAATGTGAACACTATGTCTTAAACTTTAAGCTTGTTTGCTTACTTGTTTGTGATTGCATTTTCACTTGAAGCTATTTATCTTGTTTCTATAATTTTTGAAGACCCCTATTCCCCCTTTTTAAATTAACAATTTTTAATAATTTTGTATATGTGGTTTGGATATATAAATTCAATTTCTCTAGGGTTATAGTGTGTAACGCCTGAATTGTATTCATTACTTGTTAATATATATGGTTTGTATATATAAATTCAAAGTTTCTTGTGTTACAGTGTGTAAAGCTTAAACTGGATACATTATTGGTAATAGATGTGGTTTTATTGTCCCACACCACAATCAAATTTTTATCCGTCTGCTTGTGATACAATTTCACACCTAAAATCCAGCTTTATTGTTACAAAGTTTTGGTAATTTCCTATATATATTAGATATTGATTATATATTTTTTATTTTTATCAGGTTATTTAACAAAAATCCAAAAAGAGATTACAAAATGAAAGTGGAGAATACGATTGACAGAGAGTCGGTAAATAAAGGTAACATTAAGTCGGCCAGTATTGGAAGAAAATCCGAAAACAAAAACCTGGAACGTGATGAGCAAACTATCAGAAATGTCAATGGAATCGAAGTGACTATATCTCCTCCTGAAGAAAACGTTTCGCCAGAAAATTCGGCCGAAGTTAGATTAAGAACATTTCACTATTGGAAATGGATAATTATGGGAGTTCTCATGCTGTTTTTAGCCATAATTATTGTTATTATTGGAGTTTTACTCACAAGTTCCGAGCCTCAACCTCTTCAAAAGACAGCTAACCCCTTAACTATAACAGAATGTGGACAAATTCAGGGCCTTATTCAAGATGGAGTCTATGTTTTCAAAGGCATTCCCTACGCCCTTCCCCCCACTGGTGAGCATCGATGGAAGCCACCCCAGCCAGTAGCTGCCATTGAAGACTGTTGGAATGGCATTTTTATGGCCCACAACATGAGTAAGTCTTGCTACCAAAAAGGGTCTTTAATTTCTCATCAGGACTTCAGTGAAGACTGTTTGTATCTGAATGTGTACACTCCTAGTTTGTCTCACCACCAGCTTCGTCCCGTTATAGTTTACATTCCAGGCTATTCACTACAGGGGTCTTACGTAGATTTGGAGTGGCAACCCAATCCCATATTAGCCAAAGAGAAAGATGTCTTACTTGTTACTTTTAATTACCGATTGAATGTGTTTGGCTTCATGACTCTGAAGGTGCTATCAGACGCTGTTCGGCCTCCTACCTCCGGAAACTACGGTTTCTATGATCAAATCGCAGCTCTCAAGTGGGTGAAGAGGAATATCATCCATTTTGGAGGAGATGCAAAAAAAGTGAGAATTTAATTTAACATTCGAACTTCATTGATTTCCCATTATTAAAGTATTAATATTCAATTTGTTAGAAAGACTTTTGAAACTGTGAAAAAAGTTATATTTTACTCTTTTAAATAGAACTACATAGTACAAAAATTACAAGGTTGAGTATGTTATACTAAAACGATTTTAAATATGCAAAGCAGAAAACCATGTGACAACCACAGCCGATATAAAGTTGCGGTAGAACTACACTTTTACATTGTTTACTGTTAGTTGATGCCACCGAAAATTATCGCTTTTGAGAAGTGTATGCGAATATCTTTTCCAATACAAGATATTCATCCACTCAATTTATATAGACGTGTTCAGAACGATCATTTACAATATTCAAGACAAAGATATCCATTATATTTAATGATATTGAAAAACAAAAAAATGTGGATCAATTTGAAGAACCAGAACCATCCAGAAAGAGACTTGCATGAAGTCGTACCTCAACCATGGTAAGTAAAGTGCTTCATCGTGTAACAGGTAAGAATTTACGAACACAAGGGTCAGTCGTAAGTGCTGTCCACTTATGCCAGGTAACTACGCAACATATCCTAGAAGAGTTTCCGCCTGAAAACGCGACACAAACTGCTTCCACAACATATAAGTTCAAGCGTCCCATACTTCTAGCAGCTGGATAATGAATGAAATGAGTCTTCTTACTATTTCATATGATGACGCACCAGCCCTGTAGCTAGATGTCTTTGGATTTCCGTGAGACCGGACTGTTGAAACGGGCGTTTGAAAACCACCACTCTCGTACACTAGATGGATTATTTAAAGCTGCAGAGAGAAGGAGTGTACTCTGAGTAAGACATCGTTACGAAGGAACCTTTTGTAATGAAAATTACGCTGCAGGGCTATTGTCAAAATGCACGAGAGTCAGATAGAGTACGACTGGACGTGGCTTCAAAATCGTTTTAATATAAAGTGCTGGACTTCTGTACCAGTATAAATATCACTATTCATACTATATTAGCAACATGTCTTTTAGTTCTTACTTATGAAAATATGTATATAAATTAATAATTAACTAAATTAAAGTTTAGTATAACAGTAATATGAGAACCTTGGAGTATCTCCCTCCGAGTTTGTGGTATTAAGAGTTTTTAACAAATAAATTTGTTTTTATTATTGTTATACGTTTGATATTAAAAAAAAGACAACATTATGTAGTTGAAGATTCTACTATATTTTATACCTTAATTAACTATTTCAGTTTGTATTATCAGTTTGGAGGTATAAAACTTGATTTTTATTTTAAAATAATTGTTAAATACCTGTTTCATTTGTGCAGTGTATATTCGATGGAATTCGTAAAAAAAACAAAAAACATTAAGTGGAAAGCAGGAGTTAAAATTCTCAAACTTAACATACCCTAAGATTCGGGTAATAGACGTCCCTACTTCTGAAACTACTGACCCCGAGGGAAGGCAGCCAGTCAGCTGCAGAACCCCTACTTCTGAAACCATTGACCCCGAGGGAAGGCAAGCCAGTCAGCTGCAGAACCCCTACTTCTGAAACTATTGATCCCGAGGGAAGGCAAGCCAGTCAGCTGTAAAACCCCCTACTTCTGAAACTATTGATCCCGAGGGAAGGCAAGCCAGTCAGCTGTAAAACCCCCTACTTCTGAAACTATTGATCCCGAGGGAAGGCAATCCAGTCAGCTGTAAAACCCCCTACTTCTGAAACTATTGACCCCGAGGGAAGGCATCTAGTCAGCTGCAGAACCGTACAAAGGTTTTGTCCGGATCTTTGAACCGAATAATGAAATTGACAGTCACTTCTATAACACGCCCAAAAGAGAAAAGTGCAGAGCGTGTTCAGCAACACTGTACTCTAACCCTGGACCCTTAAATCCGCACATACACTAGGCCATGCCCGGCCCTAGAAGAACAGAGACTAATAGAGAAATAATAACATGAGTATACAAACCCTTGCAAAAAACTTGCATTCCCCTTGAAGGTTTAAATGGACATCATTCAATGTTTGACTTTTGTGGACAACATTTCGACCTGCAGGTTGTTGGTATCCTTTTATTTCAGGCCTGAAACTCCCAGTCTATTTAAAATAAATCTGAATACAAATCATGAAATGAACGTGGTTAGTATAGCTGGGCAGAGAGCTGGTTGATTAAAATAATGGTACATAGCCGAATGAAAGAAAGCTAATTTTATTTTTAGAAAACAACGACAACACACAAACAGTTGAGCTAATTCCAAGGTTTACCACTTTGAACAAGATAATATAATCAAGAAATTAAGAATGAGGATTATTGGCTTTGTATCAGAAGTTGGTGAGTGAAAAATGGCATATTGGAGCTTGCAAGTGCGCGGGAAATTAAGACGGAATTCTCGTGAAGGATGCGCTGATAATACAGCAGATATATTTGGGCCCTGAACATTACGAGTCGTTTCTTTAAGTTTGTATGTCGTTCTAATGTTTCTTGATAATTAAAGAATGGACTCTCCAATTGCTGTGTTTTAAATCTTTTACAGATAACAGTATTAGCTCATGGTTCTGGAGCTACGGGGGCTGTCTATCTCCTGAGCTCCTTGAAAAGTCGGAATTTATTTAGCCAGATGTGGATCACGGGGCCGTCTGCTCAGTTCCCTGACAAAACACTCCAACAAGTTCAGTTAGAAAATTTGCAGTTTCTCAGGTGTCCATTTTTATTTTGACTAGATTTTAGATTTAAATAGTCCGGTTTCATTTTGCTACTAATATTTTGCATAATAACTACTTGTATAAAGACATAAATTTAGAAGTCAATTAATCCACTTTGTCTCTGAAGAACAAATGTTGTCTTTAAGGAGCTAACATCCATACGATGGCTAAACATATTATATGAAACTGTCGGTTTTATCAAGCAACTGTTTGTTTGTTTGTAATTAAGCCCAAAACTACACAATGAGCTACCTGTGCTGTGCCCACTATGGGTATCGAAACATAACTTTATACGTCTTATAGCCATATCTGAATGCAACCCTGAAAAGAAAAACAGCTTATCTGAATGCAACCCTGAAAAGAAAAACAGCTTATCTGAATGCAACCCTGAAAAGAAAAACACCTTATCTGAATGTAACCCTAAAAAGAAAAACAACTTATCTGAATGTAACCCTAAAAAGAAAAACAGCTTATCTGAATGCAACCCTGAAAAGAAAAACACCTTATCTGAATGTAACCCTAAAAAGAAAACAACTTATCTGAATGTAACCCTAAAAGAAAAACACCTTATCTAAATGTAACCCTGAAAAGAAAAACAGCTTATCTGAATCTAACTCTGAAAAGAAAAACATCTTATCTGAATGTAACCCTGAAAAGAAAAACACCTTATCTGAATGTAACCCTGAAAGGAAAAACACCTTATCTAAATGTAACCCTGAAAAGAAAAACAGCTTATCTGAATCTAACTCTGAAAAGAAAAACATCTTATCTGAATGTAACCCTGAAAAGAAAAACACCTTATCTGAATATAACCCTGAAAAGAAAAACACCTTATCTGAATGTAACCCTGAAAAGAAAAACACAGCAGATATTTATATTTATAATGAAGGATTTTTTTTTATTTTCTTAAGACAAATATCAAAATTTTCGTCACTTCAAACAAAAAAAATAAATTTTTTATTGGTAAAAAAGAAGTTTTTCATAAAGATATGTTGTATTTTTTTCGACAGATCTTTAGTTCGTGTAAAAGTTCTTACACAAACTGTAATTAGGAATTTCTACACTGTTCGTGTAAACGTTTTCAAAATGTCATGATAGAATAACCTATGCCCCCTAGTGGCACAGCGGTATGTCTGCGAACTTCCAACGCTAGAAACCGGGTTTCGATACCCGTGGTGGGCAGAGCACAGATAGCCCTTTGTGTAGCTTTGTGCTTAACTACAAACAAACAGAATAACATATTTTAAGTTGAAACATCTGTAATACTCGTGTCATTGTTGCTTTATAACGAGCAGACGTGCAAATGAAAAGCCCAACTTTCATTTTCTACCTCATCGCTTACAAAATTGTTTTCGGTTATAAAAATCAAGCGACTTGTAATTTTAAGGTAATACATTTTATTTACAGGAACTTGAACTGTGACACAAGGGAGTGTCTACTAATCAAAACGCCGGAAGAGTTACTGAACGCAATGCCAGATTCCTGGTCTGCTGATCATCTCACTGACCTGCCGTCCACGATGGATCGTTCTTTGAGTCCAATAGCTGTCATCGATGGTAGAACATGACTGAAAATGTTTTACTGTAACAAAAGTGTATTTTAAGTCATAAATCCCTATATCGTTTTGTACAGGTCTTTGTTTGTGTCGGAAGTTTGCTCAAATCTACACCAGGGCTATCTGCGCAAAGCCGTCACTAATTCTGAGTTAACGGACTAGAGGGAAGGCAGTTGGTTAACAACAACACTACCAATTCCTGGGCTACTCTTATATGATCGAGTAGTGGTATTTGACCATCAATCTTATAGTGCACCCATGGCTCCAAGATGCGGAGCGCGCTTTTGCAGAAACAGATAGCAAACAGTGTATTCTTGGATTTACAATCCGGGTACTCTAACTACTAGGCCACACCCGCCCCACGATGACAAGTAAAATACGAAGGAATAATTAATATATAATCGAAAGTGTCACGTTTTTAGTACAACTTTGAATTCAAAGAAATAATTTACCCTAAAAGTAAACTTCGTTTGGTTACTGTTGTCTTCGGAATTTCGTTTTACTTATAACTAGTCATCCTATCGTCCAGTTTATCTGATTTATAGTTATTTCACTTTTAACGATTCTGTAAATCTGAGCGAGCAATCACTGTTAAAATCTTTCAGTTTGTGTCTAGTAATGAACGACCACTTTTTACAAGGAATCAACTAATTGGGTAAAATAACATTTATTAAACCTTGTTCATTTCTTAGGTTCTGAGCTGTTTTACTTGTTGCTATAGGAGCCGCTAATCAAATCAAGGAGTATTTGAGAGGTCCAAACTATTAGTTTATCCCACGTTCAGAACAGGCGAATCTTTGATTAGAAATTGACCTTATAAATGGTCACCTTGAGATAGCGGTAAGTTTACGGACTTAGAACGCTAAAATCCGGGGTTCGATTCCCAGCGGTGGACACGGCAGATAGCCCAGTGTGGTTTTGTTCAAAAACAAACAAATCTTACAAATCTGTATATAGAACAAGGGTAAAAAAACAATCAAGTTGGTTATAAGATCCTTTAGCTATATCTTATGTACATTTATATTTACATATAAATAATCTCACCAGACAGACCAGTTAACTGTGTTATTTAAGACAACTGTTGTACATGACTTACAAAAATTATGCGACGTTTACAAGTTTAAACAACTACGAAACAGTAATAATTATGAACTAACGGATTGTGGTGGATGATGGGTATATACACGTGTACAGTTTCTTCCGTGCTAGGTATAATCACGTATACACATATGCGGTCACTAAATATGGCGGCAGAAAAGACTATGTGTTTCCTACTGCTAGCAGAGATGAAACTAACGGTTTGTGGTGGATGATGGGTATATACACGTGTACAGTTTCTTCCATGCTAGGTATAATCACGTATACCACATATGCGGTCACTAAATATGGCGGCAGAAAAGACTACGTGTTTCCTACTGCTAGCAGAGATGAAACTGCTTATTCTATAGCAATGACATTATCGTATTAGTTAATTAGTTAATCGTATTAGATATTCTATCAAGAAGTGGTACCAATAATTTTAAGAATTAGGGAGTGTGGCAAACAAGAAAGGAGACTCGATGGGTCGATCTCATGTCCAGATATCACTTCTCTGGAAGCACATCGTCTACAGGACAAAGGTGACTGACCTGGGGACACTATGTGATTAGATCACCGATGCAATGGCTACTGCGATGACCGATATGCTGGTCAATATATGAATGGATATCGGATATCGACTCGAATATTGAGGGCCATAAAGGGAGCACATGTACAAATGTACTGATGACAAATGATGTGGGAATAAAAATTGCATACATGTGCCCTTTATCCACTATAAACCATAAATTTCTGATTTTAATGTCTCGTCGTGGTTTTAAGTTGTTAATACGACACATGATTTTCGGAAACCCTATATATGTATCTCTATTTATTCTGAGTTTCAGAGTGAAACGCACTCCATCAAATCCTTTTCTGATAAAATTAATATCGAATTCAACGTATTTCTCTTTTCCAACTAGATATATATAGATATATAACCTTTTACAAGAATTACAAATATAATAACACTTTTCTATAGCTTTTTATTTGAAGGATTAAAATAGGCTTGTAATGTCTCATGTTTTTAATTTAATATCATTTTCAGGCGTCTTAGTATATGACGATCCTTTTACCATGTGGAAAGACGGAACGATCAACGATGTCCCGATCGTTATAGGTGAGAAGATAGTAACACAAGAAAAGTTCGTTTACTGAACCATCACCTTTTAAAATTTAGGACAGATACTGATAAAAAAAATTCATTTTTAAACACTGTGCTCAAAATAGCAACGTTTTGTGATTTTATTTCCCATTTTGGAATTTAGCAGGTCTTATAACAAAGGAAGATTTTATGTATTTTCTAACAAAACTGCCGGTAAGTTAGTGAAATGTACATTTATATTCAAAACATTGTTAAAGAAAAAAACATTTTCCCGGAGCTGATATGTTTAAGGTATTTATTATGACAGATATGGGGGTGTTCAACTCAAACTGTAACAGGTTTGTACTGGATTCAAGTTTCAGATAAGATACACTTTATTGATTATTCGTATACTTGACATTAAATATTGCTTATAGAACTGAAAAACAGGAAAATAATACTTTCTATATTCTATTTGGCTAAACGCATTTCTGTAGTGTACGTTAGGTTTATTTGAAAGCAGTATTTAGGTATATAAAGCGTCACTCAACTTTAAGTATTCTTAAAAAGAGGTGCTGAGCTGGCGAGATTACTTGTAATCTGCATAACTTTCATGCTTTGAATATTAGCCGTGTTGATCACTAAATCAATCCATAGCAGCCAGTTATCTTCAGGTCATATTGATAGTCATGTATTTATTATTAGCTGTATTAATTATTAAGCCACAACGTAGCAGCCAGTCATCCTCAGGTCATATTGATAGTCATGTATTTATTATTAGCTGTATTAATTATTAAGTCACAACGTAGCAGCCAGTCATCCTCAGGTCATACTGATAATCATGTTTTCAACATTAACCGTTTTAGTCATTAAATCACTACGTAGTAGCCAGTAATCCTCAGGTCATACAAAAATATGCTAATTTTTAGTAGATAAGACCTTTGAAGTGGAAGCTTTCTATTTATCATTGGAAAGAAAACTATTAAATTGTCATATAATAAATGTGCGTCATATTTCGCAGGAAGTGCAGCTCAAGAAATTGGACTGTGGAGTGGTGATCGTCAGGGTTTGAATACATGGACTTGGGAAGATTTCATTGATTATGTCAGACAGAGATTAGATACTATAGACACTAATTTGACGAACGCAGTATTGGACTATTACGTAAGAAACTCGTCTACCCCAAAGATGCAGTTTTATACAATGGTAAGTGTTTAAAATGTAATATGTAAATAACATTCAATAGTTATAAAAACAGTTTTACACAATGTAAGTGTTTAAAATGTAAGTATGTAAATAACATTCAATAGTGATAAAAACAGTTTTACACAATGTAAGTGTTTAAAATGTAATATGTAAATAACATTCAATAGTTATAAAAACAGTTTTACAGAATGGTAAGTTTTTAAAATGTAAGTATGTAAATAACATTCAATAGTTATAAAAACAGTTTTACACAATGGTAAGTGTTTACAATGTAAGTATGTAAATAACATTCAATAATTATAAAAACAGTTTTACACAATGGTAAGTGTTTACAATGTAAGTATGTAAATAACATTCAATAGTTATAAAACAGTTTTACACAATGGTAAGTGTTTAAAATGTAAGTATGTAAATAACATTCAATAGTTATAAAACAGTTTTACACCTGTTTTATAACTATTGAATGTTATTTACATACTTACATTTTAAACACTTACATTGTTTTACACAATGGTAAGTGTTTAAAATGTAAGTATTTAATTAACATTCAATAGTTATAAAAAGAGTTTTACACAATGGTAAGTGTTTAAAATGTAAGTATGTAAATAACATTCAATAGTTATAAAACAGTTTTACACAATGGTAAGTTTTTAAAATGTAAGTATGTAAATAACATTCAATAATTATAAAAACAGTTTTACATAATGGTAAGTGTTTAAAATGTAAGTATGTAAATAACATTCAATAATTATAAAACACTTTTACACAATGGTAAGTGTTTAAAATGTAAGTATGTAAATAACATTCAATAATTATAAAAACAGTTTTACATAATGGTAAGTGTTTAAAATGTAAGTATGTAAATAACATTCAATAATTATAAAACAGTTTTACACAATGGCAAGTGTTTAAAATGTAAGTATGTTAAACCTAATGATAACTTTACTTAAGTTGTTCTATCTCATTCTGAAACGTAGACAGCTTTCAATTGTTCAAAAAATCGGGGATGAGCCAATTGGTTTGAATTTCGCGCAAAGATACATTAAGGCTATCTGCGCTAGCCGTCCCTAACTTAGTAGTGAAAAGGCAGCTAGTCATAATCACCCACCACCAACTCTTGGACTTCTCATTTACCAACGAATAGTGGGATTGACCGTTATATCATAACGTCCCCACAGCTGAAAGGGCGAGCGTGTTTGATGGGACGGGGATTCGAACCCGCGACCCGCAGATTTCGAATCGAGTGCCCTAACCCCAAAGGCCATGCCAGGCCCAAATAAATGATAGTATTTTTCAAAATTCGAACAAAGAATTTTGAAAAATATATATGGATATTTTATAATTTTTAAACTCATGTATTTACACCACGAGGAGATAAATTTCAAGGGCTCGTGGGACATCCAGCTTTGGGGAGATCACGTCTACTTTTCTCATATATACAATTCATGTACAATTGAAGAAAATTGCTTGAAACACTCATCAGGTGGATGTAGTTATAGTTTGTTTTTAATTATGCACAAAGCTACACAAGGGCTATCTGTGCTCTGCCCACCACGGGTATCGAAACCCGGTTTCTAGCGTTGTAAGTCCACAGACATACCGCTGTGCCACTGGGGAGCGTAGTTATAGTTGATCTTGTGTTCGCTTGCATCTTGGTACGCTAGCGTTTATTTGAATTAAATTTCACTTTCTAAACTTTCATAACAAATGAATACACTTTGAACGGATAAACCACAATTTTAATAATATATTCATAGATTATCCAGTTTCATTAATTTAGGGTTTTAGTCACTTAGTTAATAATGTTTATTTCATACAAAAAATACCTTCATTCTTAATTTTTCCATAATCTTGAAATGTACATTCTTTACTTCTACGTCGCAACTACACATTTGTTATTTCATACTCGATTTCTCGTGACTTGGTTGTTTTGCATGTTTCCGCCCTAGAATTTCTAGCCATCTAGTGGTTGATTCTATATATATACCTCTTATTACAACTAAAACAAGTAAATTCGTAAACAACGTTAGATGTTATTTAGAAACCTTATAAAAATCTGTTTTCAGTGTCGAACATAATTCTCAAGTCTATTTCAGGGTAAACTTTACAAAATTAGTTATGTAATTGTTTTCTTGTTACAAGACAAGTTGATTAGTGTACATTATGGTATCTAATATGGGTTATAATTCATATACCAACATTCCTTTGGAGGAGACATTGCAGCTAGCGACTATTTTAACTTATAAAAATTATATGATGCGATTACCCAAACCAGTTTCTCAACAACTATTCGAATGTTCCACCCAAGAGTCCCATTTTCCATTTGGTGGTAACATCTATAACCAAACTGATGACGTTGCAATGGGTTCAAGATTGGCTCCATCATTAGCTACTACCATCAATAGTTGAAGGAGTGTCCGAAGAGTTTGAAACCGGTATATTACCGATGGAACGTGGATGATACGTTTGTCACCTTTAATGAATTGGAACATGTGAACCGGTTCTGTGAATATTTGAACCACAGAAAGAATAATATAAAGATCACGATAGTATATCAAGATCTGTTTGTTTGTTTGTTTTTTTGTATCAAAGTAAAGCCACATTGTGCTAACTGCTGTGTCGACCCCGGATTTATGCGTTTTAAATCCGTAAACTTATCGTTGTTCCATCGGTGAACATCAAGAAAATCTTGCTTTCTCGGGTATTTCAATGTATAATATATAAGACAATGGAATATTGAATTTTTCATAGAAACCTTTATATATTTTAGGACTATATTTTAATTTGGTTAGTTTTAGTTTTCACAAGTACAAAAATAATCTTGTGAAAATATTAGTCCATCGAGCTTATAAAATTACAAGTACTTTTCATAATGGAATGTAGAATATAAAACGATTATTGAGAAAACATGATTTTCCTATTTGAAAGATAAACAAGATCACAAGAATATATTTAAAATGAATTCTGATCAAATAACAGATAAAAATTTTGCCAAAATTATCGATATGACTGACACTGCCCTTCACTGGAAAACATGTTTTTTTTTTGTAAGAAAGCAATTACATAATTTATTTCATACAGTCCACATAGACCTGATCGTTATTTTCAAACATGAAAATAGATTGAATTTTTTAAAGTTAAAGATACGATGTTTGCACAAAAAACATTTAACGTCGTTCTAGCTGTGATGCTAGGCGTATATAGGAGCTACCACTAGATGGCTACAAAAGCGAGTGCGACAACATGCAAAACTACT